CATATCTATAGGTGTTTGATCGATGAGAATAATTGGGAAGACGGACAGAAACTAGACACAGATCTATGAGATTTATAGCATCGACGATTGCCAAACTCTTATATTTCTCTTAACATGATTTTTCTTTTGTTTAGATATTGAATATCTTTCCTTGGGATGACGATTTTGCCCCTAAAATGTAAAATCCGGCAATATTTCGCAGTCAATTTGGTCAAAAGGACCAAAATTGATAAAAATAACAAAGTTAGACACCAAAATTGAAAAAATTTAAAGTTGTGCACCAAAAATGATAGAACCTCTAAAGTCGTGGGACCAAAAGTGAAATTAGTTCAAGGAGATAATATGATTTAAAATATAACATTATATTATATTAATTTTTATTACAAATATTTATTTTATTTATTATATTATTTAAACAATTAATTAATTAGTTAGAATAATTCATAGGGAGTCATATTAGGATCAATCGTTATGCCATGGAACCGTGTTCACCATTCATGGTGAACACGGTCCCAATGCTGTTAGTGCACCGTTATCTTTTATTTTTTTCTTAATTAATCGCGTGACTTTTCTTCTTCATTTTTACATTTCGCGATTTCACTTTAATTTGAGGTGAACAATGATTTCGGACATTCATAAATTATGAATCCATGCCTGCATATTCACTTTGGACCCGTGCCTACACATTCCTGTCCGAAACCATGACTGCTGCCTGCACATTCACTTTGGACTCGTGCCTACACATTCCCGTCCGAAACCATGACTGCTCCTCTGTAGCGCAAGCTTTTTCAACATTCATAAATTATGAATTTTCTGTTATGAGATTATGAATTTTCTGTTATTAGATTATGAATTTTTTGTTATGAGATTATGAATTTACAGTAAATTCATAATCTCATAACAGAAAATTCATAATTTAATAAATTTTTTTCTTTTATGCGATTATGAATTTTCTGTTATGAGATTATGAATTTACAGTACATTCATAATCTCATAACAGAAAATTCATAATCTGACCAAACGTGCGCCGTTAACACCACATCCGCAATTTTTATTTATTTATTTATTTATTTATTTTTACGTAAAAACGGCGCCGTTTGGACCCGTGTTCACCATTCATGGTGAACACGTTTCCAGGGCATAATTTGCGTATTAGGATTGTTTAGAGAGGATTCATATAAACCTTATAAAGATTTTTTGAACTAGTTCCACCATGAAATTAGGGACAAATTACACGGTTCACACAGTTGTGTGGACTATGGTCCAAAACGATGTTGCTTAATTTTATAAGTTATGATAATGTATATTATGTGTTAGGATAATGTAAATTATGTTTTAGAATATTGAAACTTTTGGGTAAGATAATGTACATTATGTGTTAGAATAATGTATATTATGAGTTAGAATAATGAAACGTACTTTTGGGGTAAGATAATGTACATTATGAGTTATAAAATGTATATTGCAACGGGTCACGTAAAAAACGTGAAATGATGTTATTTTGAACCGTGGCCCACACAACTGTCTTAAGAGTAAAATTGATAACGAATAAGACTAATTATCCAATAGGATGCTGAGTCGTGGGTGCTTTTTTTGTCCGTAAATAAATAATATTAAAAAAGGCGAACTAAGATACAAGCTCAATTGTTATTACAATGTCTGATTTATTTAGGAGACCGGCTAAAATAAGGAGAAGATGTTGGAAATTTATATAGTAATAAAAATTAATGTTTCAAATGTTCTACCATGAAAGCTTAAATAATATTTGGAGTTGTGGAGTTATAAATATTATTTTAGTTTGGTAGAACGTTAATTGAAATACAGCAGGTGGAGAATGAGTTTGCCGGAAGGGCTTTGACGGAAGGCTTTGTCCATTATCCAATATTGGAAAATGTTTCAGTTGGAACTTTGTCCATTTTTCAATATTGAAAACTGTTTCAGTTGGAACTTTGTCCATTTTTAAATATTGGAAAATGTTTCAGTTGGAGCTTTGTCCATTCACCAATATTGAAAATTGTTTCAGTTGGAGAATGAATATACAACTCGTGAGCTTTCAAACTTCCCAAACTTACATGCAAAATTGTGCTAGCATGCAATTATAATATATATAAATATATTATTCTTGTACAGTTATTTGCATGCGGTTCATAACCTTATAAAGGTTCATAATTATGTATACATTCATGTTGAACTTGATTTACGTAATTTATTTTTTTCCTATGATAAATATATCATTTAAGATATATTTTCTAATGGAAGTTGAGTTTTAAAACTGCAAAAATTTCCATGTAACTTCTCCAACAACCATATTTGCATCTATAAATATTTTGGAGAGGCATCTGAAAGTACTGGCAAAAGAGAGACATGGAATTGACGCATGCAATCAACCTGTAGGACAACAAGATATATCGCAGGCTTACAATTCTACAGGAAATTCTCAAACAAAGCAACTTGAGAATTTCATTCATCTTCTTGTATCCCATAAGATTAAATCTTGAACCTTGTTGCTTTTATGGAAGGAGATTTGAAACTTATAGGAAAGTGATTACATGCCAATGATCCAACTTATGTTCCCTGATCTATTATGTATTTTTGTTGCAATTCAAATGTATTACAGAATACAAGCAATTTTTTCTAACAAAGACATGCAATGAGAAAATCAAGTAGGGTCCATCAATGGTGATTTCTTGAAAGGACAAAGGGGCATTCAACTTATAAATGTAGGAAATGAGTTGTTCCTTCAATTCAAAAGTTCATGTAGAATGAGTGTTTTGCCTACAACAACTATCAGCAATCACAGACGTATCCATGTCTCACGAAGGAAGCAAAACCCACTCCCTTGACTCTTGAAGAGCACAGGTCTATTCAATCCCTAACTAGCCCTCAAGCCAAGGCACGAAATGGCCTCCGTCCCATCAGCCGATGGGGCAAAGCATAGCCCTTTACCGCCAGTAGCATCGTGGCTAGCAAGGCGCCATGCCTCGCCTCATATCCCGCTCCCCACCACCACTTTCTTGCCTTTGCACCCTCTGCCTCCCCCATTTTTATAGTCATGTTTGCTAAAATAGTTAACCTATCAATCAATTTTGACTTATTTGACCACTATTAGCTGTTTAACATTGTTAAACAATCAATATCGGTGTTTTATTTTTCACACACACTAGTTTAATTATAATAATGCTAAAGTATTATTTTTATTATACTCAACGTTAATTTTGACAATATATGTTATTGTATCATTTGTATGATTCACAAATTCTCTTCTATAGTACCACTACAAAAAAAATCGCGAATCACGACGGAAAAATTCCGTCGCGAATGGGCAATATTCCGTCGCGAATCACGTTTCGCGACGGAATTTATTCCATCGTCTATCATGTTGTCGTATTTTGATAGACGACGGAATAATTCCGTCGCCAATTGGCAACGGAAGTATTCCGTCGCGATTCCGTCGCCCATTTCGCAACAGAACTTTTCTCGTCGCAAATCCATCGTTATTTTTGAACTGAATATTCCGTCGCCATATTATCTTTTCCGTCGCCCATTTCACAACGGAAATGTTTTCCGTCGTAATTCCGTCGCATCGTTTGGAACAAATATTCCGTCGTCAATATTATATTCCGTTGCAATTCCGTCGCGATTTTGAATTATTTTAAAAATTATGATTTTTAAAATATTAATATAAAAAAATACTATTAATTTTAAAATAAAATAAAAGATAACATAATTCTAAATTAAGTTCAAATAATTATACATTACTAATCGACACTTCATACATAATATAATCGTCAATTCTACTCTAAACATCATAATAATACATTATCAATCCACACTTAATACATAATAATAGTCAATTCAAGTCTAAACAACATTAACAAGCAACCATTAAAATCAATTGATTTAAGATGGAAGTGATGATGAAGTACCCGTTCTCCCGCCATCAATAGCATCAAGTCGTTGTTGCATAAGGAGAATAGTGTCCTTCAAACTCTGAATTTCATGTTGTACATTTGCAGAAGTAGAAGTAGCATTGTCGGGTGGTCGCGATGTTGGTGTCATATTGCTTGAAGTGTTATCATTAGTTGGACCATGAACAACAGAACAACATATGAACCAAGTCCATAAACTCTTCTTTTCTTGTCGTGTCCACCAACCGCGTCATAGTATAATTGATTATCATCCACCTGCTCCCCATTTTCTGCCAACATCTCCCGTTGTGATTCAACTTGTTCCTAAAATATGTAAGATATTTAGTACAAAATATATGTAAAGGCATATATATTTTAAAAACTTAAAATATATTAAACTTACATTAATTTGTTTGGCTTTTTCAGTTATGAATGTTTGCCCATCGTGTTGTTTGGTATGTGTATGCTTGAAGAGTTCATAATACGATGGACAATGACCCAATTTCCCTTCCTATAAATTATATTTAACAAACAAATGCAATTATTAAAGTAAGAAAAAATTCGGCAGAATTTCCTTTGTATATAAGACTATCCCCCTATTCAATATATAATACAATTCAATTATAATCTCCAACATCAATCAATAAAACACAATCACAATCAACAGAAAACATAAAACTTGGGGTCAGGTAAGATGCAACCCCTATAGCATGTCAAGAAGTAATAGTAGAAATCAATGAAATACCATTATAAGAAGGATATCAAACAAATAAACATATTGAACCAGCTAGAAAACCTCAAATCCCATTTTAATAAACTCTTTATGTCTCCAAATTGATGAAACTCTAGTAAGGCAATTGCACAATACTTTGACAGATGAAATTAACTCCAAAAAAAAAAAAGAAGCAATTACATACCACATAATACAAAACACATGATACTTATAAATTAAATGGTTCAAATGAACTTACAAGTTGAGCTGCAACTTTTACGTGAGGTGTTGACCTAGTGGTATGGGTAGATTGAGCAACTACAGTTAAAACTCCTCCACGCCTATTTCTCTTAACCAATTCTGTTTTCTTTTTCCCCTCCTCAGAATTCCAAACATCATTCTATTTTGTCCATATTTCTGGTGGGACATAGGAAGGTCTTGGCTTTTTCCTTATTCTGCTTATGTAATCAGCATATCTTCTTTTAGCCTTTATCTCCCAAGCATTATACAATAAAGCATCTTTTGTAGCATCCCACTCTAAAAATTTCTGCAAAACACAATGTAAATATGAACTTACGTTAGACATGTAAACAAAATAACAATTCACTTTAGAATTAAAATACAATGCATGAGATTAAATATATATTACCTTGAATTCTTCCCAATAAAATTGAACTGTCTCAACACTAAGTTGTCCCCATGCATAAACATTGGGATCTATTCGTTCTTTGAACAACTTAGTAATCTTGCTTGCACATACATCTGAGTTAGTCAACCTATAAAAAGGAAAAGTCAGACTTTAAAAAATTAATATATATTCAAATAATAAGTTTCATTTTAATTTAACTTACATATTATCCTGAACATCAATTCTTAGGCATCCATGCACTCGTACAGAGTCAACCATATCACCTTGTTGTCTAACAGCATCTTGTCCAGCCTGACCATTATTAGTAGCTGTAGATGGCGTGGATGGTGATAAGGGTCTTGATGCTACTATGGGAATCGATGCCGATGCCGATGCTGATGATGATGTGTGATTTCCATTACGTGGTAGAACATTTATTGGCAAAAGTCTAGCTGCAAAACGACATCCACGTCCTCTTGGCATCTTTCCTACCAAAATATGAAAAATATAATATATATATATATATATATATATATATATATATATATATATATATATATTAGTGTTTCATATAACATATATTTATTAAGCATTACTTTTTAATTACCTACATAAACTCTAATTTTCATAATCATCGTCGTCGTCGTCGTCATCATCATCATCATCATCATCATCATCATCATCATCATCATCATCATCTTCATTAGTTGACGAACTAGAGTCAAATTCAAGCTCATCATTTTCCTCTTCATTGTCATCTGAATTGTCATCAGGAATGTCGATACATTCGACATTTTCATCACTTAACCTAACGAAAGTATCATCATCCACAGTACTTGCAATTTCAGTTTCTTCAACTTCTTTTTCTTGAAAAGCAGTATCTTTCGTTTGACCATTTTCCTTTTTGAAAGATTCTATCCATCCCCGAGGTTGAACTTTACACACAACTAACCAATCAACTTTATCTCATCTCATACTAGGGTACGGAACAAAACAAACATGAATAGCTTGCATTGCTAAAATAAATGGCTCAAATTTGTTAAACCTTCTCCGTTGATTTATTTCAACCAGATTATATCGGTTATGAACCTTAACTCCAACATTAGGTGTTGGGTCATACCATTCACATTTGAACAAGACAGTGCGTTTAATTGGCAATGCAGTATACTCAATTTCAATTTCTAATATTTCCATCAACTTGTCATAGTAATCATCACATGTGCTACTTACACAAACACCACTATTCATTGTTGATTTATTCTCACCATGTGACTCTGTGTGAAATCTATACCCGTTGACAAAATACACAGGATACGATTTCACAGTTCTCAGTGGCCTTTTTGACAAATCACATATATACTTGTTCTCTATTTCATTTTGGCGTGCCTGTGCCATTGAAAAAGTTATATATATGAGTTAGGTTTTAAGTAATTTAGAACCAAGAGAAGTAGTTGACTACAAGACTTACATAATTTTCAAACCAAGAACCAAAATTTTGTTGTAGTTGTGTTGCAAGTTCTAACTCACTTATCCTGGGATCAAGTTCCTTCAACATCTCTTCATATAAACTGTAAATTTATATAACACTATTATAGACTCACGAATGATTCAACTATCATTAATTAATTGATTGATGTGGAACTTACGCAATGTAAGGTTGTACTTCCTCACAATTAAGCAATATATAAGTATGTGCTGCCAAATACTCTGCATCGGTTAGTCTTCTTGTCTTACATCTTCCCTATAAGCGACCATGATATTTAAATATGGACAAATTTTCTTCATCCTCCTCAGGAACTTCTCCATCATCATTTCGAGGTACTTTTTGACTACGTGTATAAACGTGTGGCTCGAAATAATGAGAACAAAATATAGAGGCTTCACACACTAAGTATGCATTGCAAATTGACCCTTCCACTTTAGCCTTGTTTTTTACATCTTTTTTCAACTCATGGAGCAATCTAAATTGAAAAAAAGAATAAAACTTATTCAAATATTAGATACAATTGCATCTAATATCATTAATATTTTAAAGAAAAAGTAACTATAGAAGTTACCTTTCAAACCCATACATCCAAAGATATTGAACAGGCCCAGCAATCCTAGCCTCATATGACAAATGTATTGGCAAATGCTCCATTGAGTAAAAAAATCCCGGAACAAATATGCTCTCCAATTTACAGAGAATTATTGAGATTTCATCTTCTAATCTTGTCATTTCTTCAACTTTAATGACTCTTGCAGTTAAGCTTTTAAAGAAAATGCTTACATCTTTTTTGCACTTTAGCCTTGTTTTTTACATCTTTTTTCAACTCATGGAGCAATCTAAATTGAAAAAAAGAATAAAACTTATTCAAATATTAGATACAATTGCATCTAACATCATTAATATTTTAAAGAAAAAGTAACTATAGAAGTTACCTTTCAAACTCATACATCCAAAGATATTGAACAGGCCCAGCAATCCTAGCCTCATATGGCAAATGTATTAGCAAATGCTCCATTGAGTAAAAAAATCCCGGAACAAATATGCTCTCCAATTTACAGAGAATTATTGAGATTTCATCTTCTAATCTTGTCATTTCTTCAACTTTAATGACTCGAGCAGTTAAGCTTTTAAAGAAAATGCTTAATTCAGTTATTGCTTCCCAAACCTTGGTTGGCAACATCTCTCGAAATGCAATTGGCATTAACCTTTGCATGAAAACATGGCAATCATGACTTTTCATTCCAAATAGTCTGTATTTGCTCATATCTACACACCTTCTCATATTTGAGACATAACCATCTGGGAATTTCAAAATTTTCATCTATTCACATAACACTTGTTTCTGCTTACTGTCTAATGAATAACAAGCTTTTGGGTATTTACCTGTGGCATGGTTCTTTTCTAACTCTTTTCTGTTACAAAAGAGTTTTAAATCTTCTCTTGCTTTCGCATTGTCTTTTGTTTTACCTTGAATGTTCATTACTGTATTGAAAACATTCTCAAAAACATTTTTCTCGATGTGCATGACATCAAGATTATGTCGAATGAAATTTGATTCCCAATATGGTAAATCCCAAAAAATACTTCGTTTTCTCCATCCACAACTACGACTGATGATTTATTCACCTCTTCTTCATTAGCATTTGTAACTTTTAATAGTCCAAATTCTTCGATTTCCCTTAAAATTTCTGTGTCATTCTTAATCGGTGGAGGATGACCTATTTCCACACGATTTTTCGTGAATCTTCTTTTGTTCAAGCGAAATGGATGATTAAGTGGAAGAAATTTCCTATGATTGTCAAACCATGATATTTTTCCACTATTAGGAACCCGAAATGCTTGTGAATGTTCCCTACAATGCGGGCATGCTAGTTTTCCTGCTTTCCCCAACCTGATAACATAGCATACGCTGGGAAATCACTAATTGTCCACATCAAAGCAGCTCTCATTTGAAAATTTTGTTGCAAAGAGACATCATAAGTTAGCACACCTTCTTCCCATAATTGTTTCAATTCAGCAATAACAGGTTGTAGGAAAACATCCAATTTGTTCTTAGGGTTGTTGGTTCCAGGCACTATTGTAGTCAGAAACATATAAGGATCTTTCATACACATGGATGGAGGCAAATTATATGGTGTAATGATGATAGGCCAACAAGAATATTGTTGTCCTGACTGCCCAAATGGTTGAAATCCATCTGTGCATAAACCCAACCTAACATTACGGCTTTCTGATGCAAATGATGGATGCGTTGCATTAAAATGCTTCCAGGCTTCCGAATCAGAAGGATGACACATAACTCCAGAATCGTGGCCATGATCCTCATTGTGCCATCTCATAGAAGCAGCTGTTGTTTTTGAAGCATAAAGTCTCTTCAGTCTTGGAGCTAATGGCAAGTAATACATTTTCTTGTAAGAGACAAGTGATTGGTTAGATGAACGACTTGATTTTTTGTACCTTGGTTGCTGACACAATTTGCATTGGGTTAACTCCTTATCATCACCCCAATACAGCATACACCCCAACCTACAACAATCAATTTTCTCCACTGGTAGTCCAAGCCCTTGTATTAGTTTCTTTGTCTGGTAAAAACTATCAACCATGTTATTGTCTTCAGGTAAACCATCCTTAAACAATTGACAAAATGCACCAAAGCATTGCTCTAGCAGACGATATTCTGTCTTTATGTTTAGCAATCGAGCCACAGCAGATAATTGTGTCAACTTTTCACAACCAGACCATAATTGTCTATCAGCAGCATCTAACATGTCGAAGAATTTTTTATCTTCTACGTTTGGCTCCTCAAGCATATTCCTTGCTATGAGATTTGGACCAGCAACATCATAAACCATCTGCTGATATGTTCTTCGACATTGCTATGATCCTTCCACATATAAAAATTATCTGAAACTAGCTAGCTAGGGTTTCATATTCAATTCATCATTCAAATCATAAAAAAATTAGGGTTATGAATAATTCTTCAGAAGGGGGATTCAACAGAAGAAGGGTTCAGCACACTATTCAATTCTATTGAACTAAAATCAGTCACAACCAAAAGAGGAATTATTTAAAGAATTACCAGTCACAAATGGAGGAGGAGGTGACGGTGATGGAGTTCTGCATAGCGGCGGCGGCTGCACAGAGACGAAGATGCCAACGGCTAAACGGAGACGGCGACGGCGGTCTCTGTTGGGTTCCGGTGGCGGTGTTCTGAACTCTGCGCGTTGAGGAGATTTCTTAGTGTTCTTAGTGTTCTGCCGTAGGTTATAAGTTTTAATCTATTTAAATTTTAATAAAACTTAATTCCGATAGTTTAGTAGAAAAAAAAAATTAATAAAACTATTGCGACGGAATTAATTTCGTCGTTACTTCCGTCGCAATATTTAGTCAATACACAAAAGTTTAATTCATTTAACGATGGAATGTAAGAGGTCGTAATTTCCATCGCCATTTCGCGACGGAACAAAAATCGGTCGCCATTTCCGTCGCGCAATGGACGACGTAAATTAATTCCATAGCAAATTCAGTCGCGAATGTTTTGCTGCCAATATTTCGCGGGCTAGATTTTTCTTTGCGCCAAACTTCGCGACGGAATTTAATTCTGTCGCCATTTCGCAACGGAATCTATTCCGTCGCATTTTCAGTCGCTATATTGCGACGGAATATTGTCCATCGCAATTTTCCGTCGCGATCCCTGATTTTTCTTGTAGTGAGTTTGTTATGTGTTTTGACTTAGAAACACAATTTATATTCTAGTTTACAATTTCAATATTAAAAATACACAATTTATAGTGTATGGAAGGATTTTTCAAGATCTTTCAATAATTCTCTTAGCAGCATTTGAAGCATGCATATTCCTTTATATTAGATTCGTAAACCTTTTTATGTGATTCTCATATTATTAAGCTCACTATATAATGCTAATTTCAATGGGTTGGCATCACTTCCGGAGTAAAAGGGCAAAATGGAGAAAAATTGTACTAGTTGTAAGCATGTGAGGTTAACAGAATTAATGTGTGGCATTGAGCATTTTATTGTACGTTACACACCCTTTACCATTCAATCACTAAAAATATCAAATAGTGTTTGTTTTTAGAATAAAGTCATTGATGCATCTTCTCGCCTCCACTCAAAAAAATCCCACTCTCTACCCCCACAAAGGCAAAAACAACATATTTCCTATTTTATTCATTTTTATTTTTTTTAACCTTAATTTGGGCGTTATGATTATTGTTAGTACATAGTACCCCTAAACCTCACGTATAAATAATACTACACTCGTTTAACACGTACAACAAAGTCATAACAGATCAACAACTAATACTATGCTAATTAAAGCAATGAATGAGATGCTTTCGTAATTATTAGAGAATAATGTGCAAATTGTGTTAAGTGTTTTGGTTAGTAAAGGGAAAATGGTCAATACACCTCTAAACTTTATTCAAAAAGTCAATTATGCCCTTAAATTTTTAAAAAATGTCATTAAATCCATAAACATATTATTTTGAAACATTTAAGTCCAGAAACTGATTGATAACCTGTAATTACATGTTACCTAGGGTTCCGACGACCTTTCCAACACTTTCCGGGATCACCGGTCGCATTTGGAGGAGGCGACCAACTGGTCTGCCTTCTCCTTCGCCGGAGAAGTTGACCAACTTGGTCGCCTTCTCAGGCGAAGGAGAAGGCAGACCAGTTATTCACATCCTCCACATGCGATGGTGATTATTATCGGAAAGTGTTAGAAAGGTCGTCGGAACCCTAGGTTACAGGTTACCAATCGGTTTCTGGGCTTAAATGCTTTAAAATAACATGTTTATGAGTTTAATTGCAATTTTTGAAAGTTTAATGGCCTAATTAAATTTTTTGAGTAAAGTTCATGGATCTATTTGACTCTTTCCATTAGTAAATAGTATTAATTGTTTATAAAATTAAAATTTAGTAAAGAGTTAATTCCAGTAATGGTCCCCCGAGTATGTTGATTTTCCACAATTGGTCCTCGTCTTTTAATTTGGACAATTTAACCATCCGACTATTATATTTTTTCCAATTGAGGTCCTTCCGTCAATTGCTGGTTAAGTGGGTGTTAATTCGAGGGATAAAACCGTCATTTCCCTTACTGTGTATAAATCATCTTCGTTCCACAATGTATACATGAATAAATAAACGAAGACAGTGCAACAGAGCATGCCACGTGGACTGTGTGGCTGGACGGTATTGACGGCAGATGGTGGTGGTCGTCGGTAATGGATGCTGTCCGGCGTAACGGCGCGATGGTGGAGCCCTCTCTCTCGCTCGTCAACAGCAATGGTAGTAGCTTTACTCTCCAGTAGCGGACTCCCGACGGCAAAGCATGATAAATCCAAAGAAAGATTCAGCAACTCCATCATATCACAAATTATATTCTAACAAAGCAAACCAAATTGGTGGATGTTAAAGAGTGGAAAAACAAAAAGAACAGTAGATGCTAAAACAATAACAATTAAACATCTCACTGTGACAGCAATCAAACTGATTCCATGGAATCAGAACAAAAAAGTGAAGCATTTCATCAAACAAAACCCATTTGTTCATAATCATCCTAATCTGCAGCAATTTTTTTTTTTTTTTTCAATTCCTTCTTTAACCAAACGAAAAAAAAATCATTAATTTATATTGGGTAGTAGATGCTTAGAACTTGGGAAAAACTCATTTGACCAAACCAATTGCCAAACATAATAAAGAAAAGAATGCAGTAAATTCAATAAAGTAAAAATTGAAATGAAAGGAAAAGTTTAACAAAAAAAAGGAACAATGAAAGAGGAAACCCACTCATGCAAAGAAATTTCAAACCCCAGAGCACTTTGAAAACGACGACGAAACAAAAAAGAGCAAAAAAATCAGACCTTTGACTTGAGATCTGATTCAGAATTGGGTCTAGTCCCTGTAGTAAGAAAAAGTCGCTGAATTCCGACGGAAAAGCAGGGAACAATCCGAGGACTGGCCCACGGTGGCCAGAGGCGAGCTATCCATTCTCAGAAACTTGCGCGACTCCTCGGGGGACCACCGTGATATTGGATCGTCGACTCCCCCGCTGTGCCATTGGAGGACGAAGGCGAAGAGCGCAAGGGAGATGGGCTGCAGAGTGAGAGGAGAACTAGATTAGTGGCGAAGGAGGCGGCGGCGAATGCGGAAGACGGTGGTTGGGGCCGGAGAGAAGCACTGAGACCCGCCATGGTAGATGGGGAAAGACCGAGAGGAATTCGCGTATACATTGGGGGAAAGAAGATGATTTATACGTTGACTAAGGGAAATGACGGTTTTAGCCCTCAAATAGACACCCACTTAACTAGACATTGATGGAAGGACCTCAATTGGAAAGAATTTGATAGTCGGGTGGTTAAATTGTCCAAATTAAAAGACGAGGACCAATTGTGAAAAATCATCATACTCGAGGGACCATTGCTGGAATTAACTCTTTAGTAAATTAGATGTTTAATTATTATTTTTTATAGTAATATGTAAAATGACATATAATAATATAAATATATTATTTTATTTATTTAGTTATTTTTAATACGGAGTAATTTAATTTTAAATATCATTAGTGTATATTAATTTTAATATGAAATACGAAGTAAACAGGTTTTATATTTTATATTTTTAAATTAAATTATTACATAGATATAAATGATTAATAATATGTTTAATATAAATATAAATTAATGGCATTATTATTATTATTATTATTATTATTATTATTATTATTATTATTATTATTATTATTATTAGGCAAAATAGTCTATTGTTCAAGAATTAATTTCATTTTTGTCCTAGATTTATAGGTGTTATTCCACTTTTAGGGTGTGTATGGTTCGCGCATGAGAATCGGAATCAGAATGGAAATCAAATATTTAGTAATGGTATGAGCTTTGGTGAAAGTATTTTGTATGTTTGGTAGGGTGGAATTAGAATGATTACCAATATTGATGTTTGGTTATGTATGACCCTATAATGGGAATAAAGGTTTTTAAAATACAAAAATAAAAAATCAAAACAATTGAACCTAATATAATGACATCCAATGCACTAATACGAACAAAAAAAAATAAATTTTAAAACACTAATCCAAACTTAAAAATAATATTACCAATATGATGGAATGAAACCTTTTTAAATTAGGAAATGGAGTTTTAAATTGAAGGGGTAATCAAATATCATAGTTGTGTTTTAAAAAGTTGTCAACCAAACTCTAAATATGATTTTGATTTCCATTCCTAGTGCCTAAACCCATGAACCAAACACACCCTTAGTCTTTTTTTTTTTTTTTTTTTTTTTTTTTTCTTCAGAACATTCCCTATTGGTCGTAGTATTATTATGACATGATCATTTTTTGTCCTCCGTCAACAAACATGTATAAATGATGTTAAATACGAGGGCATTTTCATCTATTTTATACAAAGCGGGTTGACCTACGATACTTTTTATTTTTCTTAAAATTCCTAATTCACGGCTAGAGTCCCCTGTCTTCTTCAATTGCAATTCGCACCTCCGCAGCAGAGCCTCCATAACCTGAGGCTCCGCAACACATATAAATCTAGGACAAACAAAATTAACACTTAAAATTAAATAGACTAAAATGTCCTCATATTTAACGCCATTTAAATAGATTTGTTAATGGTAGGGGTGTAGTGTAACAACCCAAATTTTTATTTTATAAATCCAGTATTAAGAAAATCTCAAAGTAGCTTTTTCACCCCATTAAAAATTTTTGCGATCAATCGGTGTTTGAATAAAATAATTTTGTCCCATTTTAAAATTATTTCAACAACGAAGAAATGAATTTCATTCGAAAATTCCAAAGTTTTCGGGTACTTCGCGTACCAAGATTTAAATCGAGAATTTTAATCGAGTGAGACCGGGATAATTCAAAAGGGAATTTTGAACAAGTGTTCATCCATATAGCTTTTGGGAAAATTCACTTTCCACCCCAAAGTAATAAAGAAATATCATTTCTAGCCTATGGCTCATGATACATGGTGGACCACAAGACATCCAAAAATCCCTTATAAACTCATCTTTTAGCTTGGGAAATTACCCATTTACCCTCAACCAATCATTGCGAATCATCCTAGGGTTTTGAACCCTATATAAACCCCTTTATTCTATCTCATTTTCCTGATCTCATTCTTTGCATCTTCCTCATTTTCTTGGCTGCCAACAACAAGAAGAAAGACAACAACCTAGTAAGCTTGTTCATCCTTCACTCTAGCATCTTTTCTCTTCTAGTTTTCTTTAGTCTTTGAGGTTCTAGGCTAAGGATAGAAGGTGTGTTGGGAAGTGTAGGTGGTGAAGGAGGCTCAAGCTAGGCCAAGAGGAAGAAGAGATCCAAGCAAGAAGACTATACTACAAGAGGTATAACCCCATGGATTCCTCTTTAGATTTGGCTCTGTGAAGCCTAGATTTGAATATAAATGAGTAGAAACTATGAGTTTTGATGTGTTTATGCTTGGAAGTGATCTAGTATGTGTTTGTGAGTTGTTGAGATTGTTTTGGAAATGTTTGGATGAGTTTTTGGAGGTAAAATCCCATCTGGTGCACAACACAGTGTGCACCATATCAGAGTGGCGGCCCTAGCGGCGGCCCATCAGAAGGGCCGCCGGCTAGAGCCGTGCCACCACGGGACTAGGGCACGGCCCTAGAAGAGGGCCGTAGCCTAGTCCCGGCACATCAACGGGGCTCTAGGGGCGGATTATGGAGAGTCCCGCCCCAGGTCCCTGAGTATTGTTTTGATGAGATTTTTGTGCAGTGGCCGAGCCCTTGTGGCTCGGCTCTTCGGGTTCGTCTCGACGCACGTTTTGGATTTGATTTCGTGGAATTTGGATTAAAAACAAGTATGTTAAGAAGGATTTTGTGAAGAATTGTTACACAGTGCATATTTTGCTAAATTCCCCGTGTTTGAGAAAGTGTTGGTTATGTAATCAGATAATGTTTTATTTCAGTAAAGAAGCATGATCCTTTGAGAATATGATTTATTATGAAAGCATGATTAAATTGTATTATTTTGATCAATGAGAATAGAAGCATACTTGTGAGTAAAATGTATAGAAATTGCTACTTTACAAATCGAGCATGATGATATATCCTTGAATACTTCATGTTAGTTTATACATGATTTAGAAGCATGTTTTAGAGCATTTTGACATTGCACATGAGGCATATTTCAAAGATGCATAAAGGACCAACGTGAGTCCAAGAATAATTTCAAAAACCATGTGCATGTGGTATATCATTCTTTGATGCACTGAGAAGTAGTAACATTGTTTCACGCATGAGATTGATGCATTAGAGATATATTTATGTATTATCTACATCAGTGAGGTTTTGGAGGATACCGTTTGGACTATGTTCCTCTCGGGAGATATTTATGGACATTGTGGTCCCAGTATATGTAACACGGCGTACTCCCACGTTACGAGGTTGGAAACTTTCTGCCGGGCTTGGAATCCTGGTTAGGGGGTGTGCACACTAATAGTTCGATACCTGATTCCACAGAGTTTGAACCACGAGATTGGTTCTATAGACGGTAGGAGATATTGGGTCGGAATTATGCCGTTCCCGATGGGGTAAGTCACACTTCTGTGGAACCCTAAGCCGTCTACGAGTATAAGAGAAAGAAAGAGAGTCAACAGAAACTCAAGAAAGAAAGTCAACAGAGACTCAAGTATGAGAGTCAATATAGACTCGATAGAAAGAAAGAGAGTCAAGAGAGACTCGAGAAAGTAACAAAGAAACCTCCACAAAAGGTACTCTAATTTATATATGAGTGTATGATTATATTATTGCACTAGATTGCATATGAGCATGAGTATATTGTTGCACTAGATTGCATGTGAGTATGAGTGTATTGTTGCACGAGATTGCATACGAGTATGATTATATTGTTGCACTAAATTGCATAATAGTAAGATTATATTGATGCACGAGATTGCATAAGAGTATGATTATATGGTTATACTAGACTGCATACGAGTATGAATATATTGTTGCACTAGATTGCATAAGAGTAAGATTATGTTGATGCACGAGATTGCATAAGAGTTTGATTACATGGTTGCACTAGACTGCATATGAGTATGAATATATTGTTGCACTAGATTGCATAAGAGTAAGATTATATTGATGCACGAGATTGCATAAGAGTATGATTATATGGTTCCACTAGACTGCATATGAGTATGAATATATTGTTGCACTATATTGCATATGAACATGAGTATATTGATGCACTAGATTGCATATGAGCATGAGTATATTGTTGCACGAGATTGCATACGAGTATGGGTATATTGTTGTCCGAGGTTGCATAAGAGCATGATTATATTGCTGCACTAGATTACATAATAGTAAGATTATATTGATGCACGAGACTGCATAAGAGTATGAATATATAGTTGCACGAGATTGCATAAGAGTATGATTATATGGTTGCACTAGATTGCATATGAGTATGAGTATATTGTTGCACTAGATTGCATAAGAAGCATGATCATAATGTTATACATAATTGTATACGAATAGAGCATTGTAGAAGATTGTTTAATGAGAAATATAACTTGAGATATTCTTTGATCATGATTATTGTGTTGTAGTAGAAGTTCTACTATCATGTTATGTGGTAAGAATGTGAAAGCATGTAAATGCTCGTGGTATAGTCCTTTAACATGATCTTATCTGTAAGCATGAATTGCTTGACAAGCTATTTGAGAAGTCTATATGTTGATGAATATACGTGATCAGTCTTATACATATGTAAGCATGCCAGCTGATATTATAGGGTGCAAGCATTTAGAAAGTATATGATAATCCAAAGATGTTTTGAGATTAGCTTATTGCTATAAAGATATCAAATATTTTCAAAGAATGTGCTAGAATGCTTTACAGGGTTGAGTGTGGTTATACTTAGCTTCGTGCTAACGAGTGTTTTTCCTGTTTGTCTATGTGTTACTTGCAAAACCCCTTTCAGGTGGGCCCAGCAGTGAGAAGAGATCGAGTTAAATTAGTCTCTTAGTTTGAGATGTCTAAACTCTATTTTTATTTATGATCACGTTATAGATTTAGACTTATGACTTGTGTTGGAGGATTGATGTAGACTATTTTGGGGTGACGTTTTCCCCCTTATCTTTCCAGTATTTATTTCTAATACTCAGACTTAATCTTATTTGTAGTGTTACCCCTTTTTAGCCTATGCAACCACCAAAG